TTCAGTGGGAGCTTCCCCCACCATGTTGGATTCAGTGGGAGCTTCCCCCACCATGTTGGATTCAGTGGGAGCTTCCCCCACCATGTAGTATTCAGTGGGAGCTTCCCCTACCATGTAGTATTCAGTGGGAGCTTCCCCTACCATGTAGTATTCAGTGGGAGCTTCCCCCACCATGCTGAATTCAATGGGAGCTTCCCCCACCATGTAGTATTCAGTGGGAGCTTCCCCTACCATGTAGTATTCAGTGGGAGCTTCCCCCACCATGTTGAATTCAGTGGGAGCTTCCCCACCATGTAGTATTCAGTGGGAGCTTCCCCTACCATGTAGTATTCAGTGGGAGCTTCCCCTACCATGTAGTGTTCAGTGGGAGCTTCCCCCACCATGTTGAATTCAGTGGGAGCTTCCCCACCATGTAGTATTCAGTGGGAGCTTCCCCCACCATGTTGAATTCAGTGGGACTTTCCCCTACCATGTATGTTTCAGTGGGAGCTTTCCCCACCATGTTGAATTCAGTGGGAGCTTCCCCACCATGTAGTATTCAGTGGGAGCTTCTCCCACCATCTAGTATTCACTAGGAGTTTACCCTCACCATACAGAATTTACTACGTTACCCACAGTCTAATAAATAAAATCAGCGGCGCTTCCCCACTCCCAATATTTACCATTACGGCTTCCCTTATCCCTTAATATTTTTACACCTGTGTAAACTGAAGATTATAAAATCCTATTTGAATTGAAAAACTTTTCAGAAGGGAGAGGGGAAAAAAACTGGTTTCAGGCGTGACCCGCTGAGGTCGAGTTCTCTCCCTGCCCTCCGTTGTCCAGCCCTGCTGGAGGTATATATATAGCTGGTCCCTGGTAATCTTACACACATCCTTACCCGGTACTCATACCCTCAACATGAAGCTTGTGAGTATTGGCTGTGGCACAACCTTAAATAAGGAAGCCTTTGCAAACTAATATTTTCCAAGCTTCTTCAGGGAATCTGTTTATATTGGAGGGTTCTTAGTTAAAACACTAAACCCGATTGCGTGGAGTCGTGAGTTCTGTATAACTAATCTTTGTAAGGTGAAGAAGTGAAATACTAGAATACACTAAAATGGCCTGAACCACCTTCACGAACACTCACATGCACAAGCACATGTACAAGCACCAGCATACATGCACAAGCACCCCACCATACATGCACACGTACATGCACAGGCAATACCTGCATACGTTTATTTGGATTATAATACTCATCAAGTCATACTTAGCGAACAGAAGCATCACTAGCACGACTGATCCCGTGCCGGTTGAACACCGCTATCGTCACTTCGTATTCAGTATGTTGCTTCTGAAACAAGTTCAGAAGATACCTGCTAGTAGATCACAGGTGCTGTTATATTAACGAGAGTCTGATTAAAATGTCTCAACGAGAAAATATATACCGGATCAATAACAAAAATGGTAGTATGTCTCATTAAATTATAAATTTAAATAACGTAATAATTTAACGTAACTTCATTAATTAAATTACATATGACATAATTACAATAAAGAACAATAATGGTTATTAAATAACAAAAATGATAAAAAAAAATCTTCGATATTACTACTTATTATCAGTGAAGAGTTCCCTCTCATGACTCATGCTCTCACTCTCACTGTTCTCTCTCAGTGAATCATCAATCCTACATGACTCAGTCTCATCATCAGCCTCAGCATCATCTTTCCCCGACAGTCATATCTCCCTGACTCAACATAATCATCTCTCCCTGACTCAGCATTAGAATGATTATCTCTCTTCACTCAGCATCAACATCTCCTCCTTCTGACTCAGGTACTAGTCATCTGCCTGGTCGCTCTGGCCACAGCCGCTCCTCAGAAGCATCCAGAGAAAGACGCCCAAATCGTCGTGGACGAGCGTAGTGACTCTGGAGACGGAAATTTCCAATACAGGTTCGAAACCAGCAACGGAATCTCCGCCCAGAAGACTGGCACTCCAGGTTCTGAGGGCCAGAGCAACATGAACGGCGCCTTCAGGTGAGAAGCACATGTTAATTGCTGAAATACTTGTTTAACCTGTAATTACCATTCAAACACAGAAGTTTACTCTTGGACCGGGCCGCGGGGCTGGTGAACACCCTCCAGGTATACTCCAGGTACATAAGTCAACAAGAATAAATAAAACGAAATGAGTAAATTAATAGTTAAGTCTACAACTGAATAAGGCCACAGTGGTAGACTGAACTTTACTCTTCTTATTTTGGCCTACAAACGAGGTCCCCTTCAGCAGACTGCTGAAGAGGACCTTCCCTGGAAAGCCGAAATTTACAGTACTCTTTTGTTTCATTTTGTTGATGTGAAATAATTTATTTAGGTAATGTTTTGTAAAGCTACGAGCATAAAGTAACATTAACTGATAGTGTTTTGTTTATAATGAACGAGTCTCTTTTCTTAGGTTCACTCTTCCCGACGGCACCATCGCTGAGGTCCGCTACGTCGCTAACGAATTAGGTTACCAGCCAGAGTCTGCACTGCTCCCCACGCCCCACCCACTCCCTGAGCACGTCCATGAACTCCTCCGCATCGCCGAGGAACAGCGCCGTCAGGGCATCACCTTCGAAAAATAAGAAGATTGATCTCCTCCTTCTCCTCGACTTGCATTATGGACCTTCCTGTATATAGTGAACTCGTGACAACAACATTTGGGGTATCCTCCAGCACACCAGACCCTGGACACAATCTATCCTTATCACACAATGTACAATAAATGTACCAATGTCAATTGGTTAATATATTATTCCCTATTTGACGAAAGGAAGAGAAAATATAAAGTCGTATCAAAAAGGCATTTTATATATTTTGTCTATTTTTGTCTGTTTTAATATTTATAATATAAAGAATGAAGCCGAACATTTATGTTCCAACTGGTTCAAGGTTTCATATATACCAAAGTAGAAAAGGTGATGCGGACCTTTAATATATGGAGGAGTTATGATTTAGCAGTAATTGCAAGGTTCGCCAACACACTAACAATTCTCGTCGACGTCTTTGTTCTCTGTTGTGTTTTCTCTTTCCAAAAGAAAGAGGTAACACCTCCCAAAATTTAACTTCAATGAAGAGATTAAATTTACTTCTGCAAAAAAAAAAAAATGCCTCATAACCTAAAGCAACTCTCATGCGGCCGTCAGTTCTTTTTCGAGTTCCTAAAAAAAATCCAAAGATGCTCCAGAAACCAACACCAAAATACCGTAAAATCTCACGTGGTTCATTTAATGCCTCTCTTCTTGTGCCATACAGAAGAAAAATATTCCTAATAAACATGGTCGTTCAGGAAGTAAATTAATTTCCAAGACTCGATAACGACGTTCATCTTTGCTGCCCTGGAGCGATAAACACCTGTGAAAAATAAATAAAACTTAGTCTGAAAGCTAAAATGCGCTTTTATGGGGAATATAATATTGCTTATAAAATTCTTGCAAACATTTGAAAGAAAATATAATGTGAATACTACAGGAACAATCAGAGTAAACATAGGTGGGGATAAAGTTACTCTCAGAGACACCACCACCACCACCACCACCACCACTACCACTGTCAGAGGTTTACAAGAGACAGTTAACCAGTGCACCAGTAATCTCCATGTCTATTGTCACCAAAAAGGAATTATTATCCATTCATGAATCAAAAGTTTATGAAACTATCATGCATCAGTAGGTGCGTGACAGTTTTTCTACTAAATGTTTAACCCAGCGCCTGGAGATGTTAGGGAATTTCTTCTCACATCTTTCAAGGTCATCCAGTGATTGTCTTACTGGCTTCTCTCTGTGCCTTAAAGAAAAGGAAGGAGGTATTACACAGCATTCTTGGTAACTCTTGCCTCCGTCTTGTTGCCAAGACATCAATAAGAAAAACGAGCCACGATATTCACCAAGCAGAAACCAGTTCAGCTTGTGTTATGGATTCCACACGACTGTCTTGCTGCAGCCCGGCCACCACATGCATACGAGATGAAACTCACTGAACAACTCTGGATGTTTTTTAGGCGTTCACATTATCTTTAAGATATTCTGTATTCCGAGGTGGTCAATACTATTACCCTATGAGACGTGAAAGAGTGGCGACAAGGACCTACAGAGAAACAGTGAGGCACAAAACTTTATTAAAGGCGATGTTTAACCAGTAATATAAATTGGCGACCCAGAGTTGGGCAGTAGTCTGCCAGGACTCTAATGGAGGGGTAGGGACGTTGAAATTCAGAGAGTTCAACTGTAATGTTTACGCACTTCTGACAAATCAGCTATTGCACGAATGACAGCTTACCTAGCAGTAAATAGGTACCTGGATGTTAGTCGGCTGATGTGAGTCGTATGTAAGGGAAAATACGAAATTAAAATGAGAATGATGTAGAAAATGGGACACGGCGCAAAATTTTATTCCTTTAACTACAAATGGATAATTTTAAATATGGATATTTATTTATTCATATATTTCGTGATGCTTCTCCCGCCCGACGCTCGCGGGGGGGGGGAGGGGGGAGGGAGGAGGGATGCAAAATATTATGAAAATTAGGAAAGGAAGTGATCAGAATGGTGACCCCCTACAAACGTCAGGTGAAGTCACAGACATCAAAACTAAGAGTTAACTTTCAAGTGCACAAACGTTTAAAGAGAAAGTTTCACTTTATTACACGTGTCTTACAAAACGTTGTGATGAATACACATGAGAGGCTTTCATTATATTTTGAGAAAATTGTAAATGCAAAAGAAAAAAAAAATATTAAATATGAACCGCGAATTTATCACAGCGAGTAAGAAAATGAGTCCGCCGAGAGAGAAAATAAGATAATGGTAAAGGTAATTAAAGAAAAAAATCAGAAACATTGCCAATCATGACAAGTAAATGTGTAGCCACTGTCAACACACTGATAAACACACACTAATGAAAGTTTCGACCAGATGTTATTCACTGATGAATCACTGAATACTGTAAGTGGTGCTGCTGACTCAGCAGTTACTCCACTTAGAAGCCAGAAGTCACTTTTTTCATAACAACCGTGAAGCTGCTACGAAAACCTGAACATACTTAGTCGTATTTTCAGACAATTTCAGCTTTATTCAGTACACACTCGACAAAATGAACTAACAGTACTAAAGGACAGCTGATCACAAAGTCTTGCCAGGGTGACCCCAAGCTGGCCAGCACACATGAAGTGTTGAAGCTTCCACATTTCTGGACCAAAGTGTCAGAGAAATGTAATCACAGCTGATTTAAGGCAACGTCTTTCCTGCAGATCGCTTCTTGAATTATGAGGTTGTCCTCTTTATAATTCAACAGTTGATTATGTGGACTACGGTGAATCACGGTTCAAAGTTCGTATCATCCTTCCTAAATGTGTATTTACTGCTTTCTGCCAGGAAAAAAATACTAGGTTTCAGCAGTGGTGGATTTAGAGGTGCAGAAGCCCTAAGTGGAACATTTAAGGAGGACCTTCGTTGCTGTCAACTATTGCACTAGTAGAAATTAAATTTTAGTATTCGAGTCTGTATGGTTGCTGCTGGACAACTGCAAGAATGTTGTCATATCAAATGATTGTTCAAGAAATAAATATTCAACAAAATGCGAGAATTATCTAAACAATTGGGTGTCAATTTCAGACTTGAAATAGTTTGTATGATATGCAAATAAATATTTATGGTTGCTAAGGCCTCCCGCCTGATTACAAACTCTCAGGTTGTACTGATACGAGTATGACTCACGAAGGATGAAGAAATAAATAGTTAACGATTTAGGGGCCCCTAAATCGTTAACTATCAGCAGAGTCCAAAGCGACCTCTTAGTCTGCTTTTCAGGAAATCCACCAATGGGTTCCTGTAAACATACCATTGCACGATAACACTGAAGGGAATGAACGAGATGATAAATTATCACACTAGATGCAAAGAAAGAAAACACACACGGCAGACATGGAGAAATAATGCAGAAGAGTATAATGAAGAAAATCATTCAAATTTAGGATAAAATCAAAGAGAGAGCAACATAAAAAAAGAATACGTATAACAAATATATATAGTAACGAAGGTAAATTAAGAAATTCAACGACGGTAGAACAACCTACCAATACGTGGCAGGTTGATCTAACGACTCAAAGGAAGGCAGTTTAAAGTGTACTCACCAATATGTACTCACCTATATGTGGTTGCATGAGTCGAGTCATAGCTCCTGGCCCCGCCTCTTCACTGGTCGATACTAAGCCACTCTCTCCCTGCTCAATAAGCTATGTATGGAATTTGCTTCCACTACTTCACTCTCCAGATTTTTCCACTTCCTGACAACTCTAAGGCTAAAGAAATACTACCTAACATCCCTATGACTCACCTGAATTTACAACTTGCAATTGTGGCCCCTTGTTCCTGTATCCCATCTCTGAAACATTCAAACCCTGTCCACCTTGTCAATTTCTCTCAGTATTTTATACGTCGTTATCATGTCCTCCCTATCCATCCTATCCTCTAGTGTCATTCGGTTGAGTTCCCTTAATTTCTCTTCGTAAGACATACCCTTCAGTTCTGGGACTAATCTTGTTGCAAACTTTTGCACTTTATTCAATTTCTTGACGTGTTAGACTAAGTGTGAGTTCCACACTGGTGCTGTATACTCCAGTATGGGCCTGACGTACACGGTGTACAATGTTGTGAATAATTCCTCACTCAGTTGTCAAAATGCTATTCTCAGGTTTGACAAGCTCTCATATGCTGCAGCAGTTATTTGATTGATGTGTGCCTCATGGGACATGTTCGTTATAATGCTTACCCAGGACCCTTTTCTTTAAGTGACGTTTTCAGCCTTTGATCCCCTAACCTGTACTCCGTCTGCGGTCTTCATTGTCCTTCCCCAATCTTCATGACTTTGCACTTACTGAGATTAAACTCCAGGAGCCATGTGTCGGACTAGACTTAGTCTGTCCAGAGCCCCTTGTAATCTTAGCTAATCCTACAGTAGCGTCACTTATAGCTCCCCCCCCTAAAAATAAATATTGAAATACGTTACTTAAAAAAAAAAGAGAATATTTTGCGCACGTGCGTGACAAAAAAAAAATATGTTACCCTGAATTCCTTGAATAACCTTTCTGAAAGAAGGAAAGATATACTGGTTACAGGCGTGACCTTTGGAGGTCGAGTTCCCTTCCTGCCACCGTTGTGCTCAGTCTTGGTGGGGGTATATATAGCTGGTCCCAAGCACTCGGCACACATCCTCAGCTGGTCCTCACATCGACAACATGAAGTTCGTGAGTATTGACTGTGACAACCTGATGTAATAAAACTCACCATCCACCTTATTCTACAATTCTTCTCAGTATATTTTATTGGATGTGGCTTTGGTAAAACGCTAAGCTTATCTGTGTGCTGTCGTAATCTCAGTATAACTCACAAAAGCGTGACTGCAAATATGTAAAAATACCACAGCCAATATAGGATTTAAAACCTGACGACGTGAGTGTATGCACATGAAAACGCTCAGGTTTTATTTCCTGTTTTCACTGTAGTATTTTCACATACATTTACACACATATTGGCACGCACATACGCGCAGCTGCTGTTCTCCGGATGGTAAGGCTTTCCAGATCATGACTTTGTCTTGTATCTTCATTATTTTCCAAACTTTGGTGAGGAAACATGAGCAACATGCTGGTACAACACCTCTCATGTGTTCACTTCATAAATTGAGTGCTTTTTCCGAAACATATTAAAAAATACCTGGTAGTAGATCACAGATGTTGATTATATAGCAACGATTGTCTGGCGAATATGGCAACGAAAAAAATGGTAAAGTGACTATTTAAATCACTTAAGACTTAGCATTATAATTTGGTTCATTCAATTACGTGTACTTAACGAGCAAAAATAATAAGCTGAATCACGAAATAACATACGCAACTTAGCTAGTGAGCGAGAAAAATATAAACTCACTCAAAATTGTTTTCTCAACAACCCCAGTCAAAATGATTTACTCAATAATGTTATCTTAGGCAATTTATTTTTACTGTTAAGGAGAGAAAACGGATGTGTATTATCATCATCTCTCCCTGAATCAGCCTTTGCATCACCATCTTCTCTCCCTGACTCAGCGTCTGCAGTACCATCTTCTCTCCCTGACTCAGATACTAGTCATCTGCCTGGTCGCCCTGGCCACCGCCGCTCCTCAGAAACATCCAGACAGGGATGCCCAAATCGTTAAGGACGAGCGTAGTGATTCCGGGGACGGAAACTTCTATTACAGCTTCGAGACCAGCAACGGGATCTCCGCCCAGAAGACTGGCACCCCAGGCTCTAAGGGACAGAGCAACATGGACGGCGGCTTTCAGTGAGATTTTTTGTTGTTTGCTAATGATACTAGTGATTGGTATAAATATCCATAAAGACAAAATATGAAAAGAATGTTACTGTAAGTTTTGGCTTACTACCCAGACCTTTTTTTCAGTCAGTTGAAAGGAACGGTATATATCAAAATATTAAGCACTCTTTCTAAAGGCTTTATCTTATTTTCTTTAGGCACATATAACATGCTAGAAAAGTAGAAGCAAATAAAAGAATAACATTTGGGTTATAATCAATGTGTCTCGCTCCCCAGGTTCCGTCTTCCCGACGGCACCATCGCTGAGGTCCGCTACGTCGCTAACGAATACGGCTACCAGCCTGAGTCTGACCTCATCCCCAAACCCCACCCACTCCCTCCTCACGCCATCGAGCAGATCCGCGTCGCCGAGGAGCAGCGTCGCCAGGGCATCACCTTTGATAAATAAGTAGGTGGTATACCTACCCCTCGATCTCTGCTACGAACCTTTCTGTATATAAGTGAACTCGTTATGACAACTTTTGAGGCATCCTCCTTACACCTGACCCTGGATACGTTGCATGCTTATCACAGTGTACAATAAATGTAACAATATCAATCTTTTTTAATTTTCCCTATTTGACAAAATAACGTGACAACAGGAGTTTAGGGCAAAATAGTGTAGAGTTTTATAGATTTTCTTGATCGTTGCCATCTTGTATTTGTAGTCTCGGATTTGCAAAATACTCAGTCTGAAGAATATGATACCTAACATTTGGTGTTTCGAAAAAAAAATCCGTACATTATACATTAATATATGACGGGTTACAACAAATGGTACGACTGGCCGGACTTGAGAAATTACGAAATTTGGATGTAATGACTCACGAAATCGTAATGACACGATTGCAAACAAACCATACCACGGGTGGGTTAGAACCCGTGATCAGAGTCTCAAAACTCCAGACCGACGAGTCGATCTGGAGTTTTGAGACTCTCTGATCGCGATTTCTAACCCCACCCGTGGTATGATTTGAGCGTAAACAAAAGCCCATCTGAAACCTAAAAAAAATTAAATATAATAATTATAATTATAGTATGAAATGGCAGAAAATAGATGTGAATGGTATAGGAGCAATCAGCAGCGAGGATAACTTTGCTTCCAGTGATGCCTCCACAGCCCAAGATCTAAAAGATTAATAGCAAACCAGAGCAACAATCACCACAATGGTGAAGTCACCAGAAAACAATTTTTTTTATCAATTCCTAAATAAAACGTCTACGAAACCGCAATATCTTTCGCACTCTGACCAATAGAGTTTTGCAGACTAGGATCTCACCATCTCAAGTGGTTTAACAACCCAACACGCGATGAGCTGGTGTGGATGGTGAGGTAACTGGAGGAGTTTCATGAAAAGTGAAAAGTTTCTTTCTGGTTCTGTTCTGTTATCGGAATATTGGGTTACCGCCCACCGCTTTTCTGACCATCTTCCAGTTTGGTGAGTTATCGACTGAGATGTTATAGATCATAAAATGCTTGTATGTGTCGCTGTGGATCATACATCCACTGATAGTGCTAAAGATGTGTAGATGTAAACAATACATATGTTCGTGAATCATTATACTTTATATCCTGAGATATTTCTTACACAAAGTTTATGATGCTGGCGCCGGCATCTGTCTGGTGTGTCTGGTTGCCATGGTAATGTCAAAAACTGCTACAGTTATGTTGTTAAACGGCGATTATGAAGACAGATATGGTGTCAAAAGTTCGAAATCAGAAAGAAACTTTCCCAAGCCATCGCACGATAGCTAAAATCGTGAATGGTTTCATTAAACTGACAAAAATAAAGGCACCTGCCCTAATAGATCCATGAACTTTTTCCAATAGTTCACGTGCCTGTAAAGGAACGATTATAACGAATACTTAACGGAACACTTAATGGATTGCTGTTGATGGAACAGTTAAGAAACACATCATCACCACACTGATGAGAAGCACTAGAACCGTCCCACTGTGCCTGGCTAGTGGCAGGTTATAACCTCCCATTCGCCGTGGAGCATACCTGATAACTATCAGGTATGCTCCACGGAAGAAAAGAGTACCTTTAATTTCTTGGACCAAGAGCCCTTCACCAGCGTCATGGCACTCTCCGTTAATGTTTTATCCCTCTCGACAGAACACTGATTTTTTTTTTATCAGAAGTTTTTCACTATCACAGATAGTTGCTGCCACGTAAACATCAGTCAAGAATACTTTATCCCTATTCTAGGGATTAAAATGAACTCTCAGTATATATGCACCGAGAGTAATGTGGATGTATATAGTGATAGTAGTAACGTGAAAAGCCAAGTGAGGTATGTTGAGGTTGGCTTCTTGAGTAGACGGTTCGGACAAATGTATGGATGAGAAGAGAATGGATTCGAGAAAGACTTGCCTAGTTTGGGCCAGTAGGTCTGTTGTAGTGTTCCTTCATACTATGTCCTTTTGCTATGTGGGATAGCGATCCAGAAGTTTTCTGAGAAGAGGTTCAGCAATACTGTAGAAGCCGTTGTTCTGGTTGAAGTTGATATGTTGATTAGTGATGATTCAGGACTCCTGCGTTTTGAAGCGTCTTCGAGTCGGGCGCCACTGTAACTGATCGGGTGGCAGTGGGAGTTTGTATGTGAAACACAGGCGTTGTTGAAGTGGTTCATTCCGCTGGCATATTTGAGCTTAGAAACGCGTGTTTGGAGGAGGTCTTTGGATGTTTCTCCTACGTATATTTGGTCACAGTCGTTTCAAGCGATCGTGTATAATCCTGCGTTGGTAGAGTCCCATATTTGTGGTATTGTGGTATCCTTGAATGTAGCAGAGGTAGTCTTGGATACTTGTAATTTGGTGTTGGAGAGAATGTTAGAAGTGTGTTTAACAATAGAGCTATTAGAGAGAAATATATATCGTATGTCAGTTGGGTATCGCCTAGCTGATTTGACATGCGCACGGCGCCTGTAGACTCTAGTGAAATGACGAGCATAGTTGAGTTTAGCAAAGATCCGTTTTGGGAAAGAGCATTTTTCTTTAAAATAATTCACTGGTGCAGATACGAAGAGCACGTACGACCCCCCCCCCCCCTGTGGTGACGCAACGTTCACGATCACATTTACAGATATCTTTACGTGGAACATCTTGAAGCCGAGTAATTTTTCTTTATCATCCAACGGTCAACTGTCTCCGTTATGTTGAGGATTTTCTCATCATAACTCCTAGAAGATTTAACGTCTCTGCACTTCAATACTAACAATGTACTGCATAAGAGTTAAAGAACATATAATGATCATTATTAATACTTAAAATTATTATATTCCTCCAGCGAGGTGTCTTGATGCTGGTGAGGGGGAGATGGGGAGGCTCTTGATTGCCTCTAGTTCCCCAGGCGCTGTAACCCCTACGCGTTTAGCTCGTCATTCTAATTAAAACGAACACTATGACCAATACAAGGACTTCATATCAGTATTACGCCTCTGGAATCCTTTTGCCTCTACCGTAACATTATGGTGTCACATCAACATCTAAATACCGTTAAAGAAAGAGTGACACTTTATGTACATGTTAGAACTGAAGCTTATATAATCTTAAATGTCTTGATTAACCTTTCTGGGAAAAAAATAATAAACTGGTTTTAGGCGTGACCTGTTAAGGTCGAGTTCAGTCACTGCATCCGTTGTGCTCAGCCCTGGAAGGGGTATATATAGCTGGTGCCAGACACTCGGCACGCATACTCAGCTGCTAGTCACCACCGACGACATGAAGCTCGTGAGTATTGGTTGTGACACAGCTGCAGATACTGACATTCCATTAAAAAAATAAATTCTAAGATTTATCACAAAGTTCAAGACTATCTGAGGCTCACTATGCTGAAATACCTCTTCTTGATTTAATACAACTAAACTGTACGAGGTGGAAAAGCTAGCTATTTCACTGAGATCATTAAACAAAGAAGAACATATTTGCTTTTCTACGGACACAGTTTTTGTTCATGGAGGATGAGGTTCGTTAAGTAAAAACAAATCTTGAATGGTTGGCTTTCAAGCTTTTGTTTAAGAAAGAAGACAGCTAAAGACAATCATCTCTGCTGAACGACTTAGTCACTTCACATTGACTAAGCTTATTGTGGCAAAATTAGTAGAGACTTGTTACT